TGTTTCCTAGATGGTTAACACTGCCTAGCATGCACTGTACTGCTGTGGTTGTTCCATAGCTGGTAACACTAACTAGCATGCACCATACTGCTGTGATTGTTCCGTAGTTCGTAACACTAACTAGTGTGCACTGTACTTCTGTGGTTGTTCTGTAGCTGGTAACACTAACTAGCACACTGTGCTTCTGTGGTTGTTTCGTAGCTGGTAACCTAACTAGTATGCTGTACTGCTGTGGTTGTTTCACAGCTGGTAACACTAACTAGCATGCTGTACTGCTATGGTTGTTTCCTAGCTGGTTAACACAACTAGCATACTGTACTGCTGTGGTTGTTCCATAGCTGGTAACACTAACTAGCATGCACTGTACTTCTGTGGTTGTTTCCCAGCTGGTAACACTAACTAGCACACTGTGCTGCTATAGTTGTTCCATAGCTGGTAACACTAACTAGTGTCCACCTTCAGTTGCCACTGCTATGAGCTTACATGTTGCGATTCACGGAACATGTGTGTGATGTGACACTGATCATCTCCATGCATGCAGTTCATTTTTCTGCATGTCACAGAAAAAGTTGTCTTGGGGGCAGCGCTTGTGGCTCAAAGGAGTAGGGCACCAGCCCCATATGCCATAGGTGGCAGGTTCAAACCCAGCCCCAGCCAAAAACTGCAAAAAAAAAAAGAAAGAAAAAGTGGTCTCTTGGTTCTCAAGGAGTTTTTGTTGTATTTAGGAGAATACTATAAGGCTTGAGTAACGCCCAGGAAGCAGTGATCCTGGAAGTACTCCCAAGAAGCAGGGAAGTCAGGACATTGCACTAAAACACTGAATTGCTCCATAATAGTAGATTGAGGTCTGCAGCTGTGGTTGCTACCTCAGTTTATCAACAGATGATGCAAACTTATGATGCAACAACAGATGATGTATCAATAAATACAGTACAGAACTATAAATGTATTTTCTCTTCCCTATGATTTTTTAAATAACATTTTCTTTCCTCTAGTTTACTTTATTGCAAGAATATGATTTACTTTACTGCAAGTATATGATTCATACAACATACAAAATGTGTTAATTGAATGTTGGTATGATCAGTAAAGCTTCTGGTCAGCAGTAAGCCTGAACTGCACAGGGGATTGGCACCCCATGCCCACACCACTCTGAGTGGGGGTATTTCATGATTTGTTTACCCATGCAGTTGCTGGAGAATGTTGAGGTTTTTTCAGTTCTTAGCTATTACACATAGTACAGGATGTGTATGCAGTGTAGCCTCATCTCTTGGGAAAATACTTAGGAGTGAAAGGGCTTCTTTGTATGGGAGGTATGAATCTAAATTTTTAAGAAAATGTTTGACTTTTAAAGTATTTTCCAAGTTGGTTGTACCCTTTTTATGTTCTCTAGAGGTATGTAAGTTCCAGTTGCTCTGTGTCCTTGCTGACACTCGATGCGATCAGTCTTTTTAGTTAATCTACTAGGTATATAGATTTCAATATGGTTTTAATCTGCATTTCCCTG